CGGGAAACGCACTGCCGGGCGCCCAACTTGGGCTTTTGAATTTTAAACCTTTTTTTTTTTTTTTTTTTTTAAATCAATTTTTTTACGTTTTTTTCAGGACGATACGACTACATTTGAAGTTGATCATACCGATTATTTTACCACTACTCAGTTGTTTGACTCGAAGGATGAGGTAGTGGTTTGGGTGAGGTTCGTTGCAAGAGGTCTTTTTGTGAAAATAGTAAAAAGGAGCAGTCCTAAAAAAAAGATTTTTTTGACTTGTGACCTATTCGGGGAAAAACGAGAATGTCCATCAACTAATCCAGACGCGCGTCCGAGAAGGACCGGTAGCAAAAAAATAGGTTGTGGTTTTCATATTGTCGGAGAACTACGATGGGATGATAGATGGGGGGTCAGAGTAATATACGGGAAGCATAATCATGTTCCGATATACAAGTCCGGGCATGGGATGAGTGCATTGTCTCAGGAGGAGGCGAAGATCATTAGTGATCTGTCACAAAGTCATGTGCCGCCCAAGAAGATTTTGGCTAACTTGAGACAAAATGGTTTGGGTCTCGATGCTTATTCGAAACAAATATACAATGAGAAGGCGAAATTGAAAAGACTATCTAGGGGTGACCGTACAGTGATGCAACATTTGATTGGGTTGCTTGAGGAGCATAACTATTACAAGTGGTTCCGTACTGATGAAACAACACATGCAGTTACTGATTTGATGTGGGCTCACCCTCAATCTGTCGAATTGTTAAGTAAGTTTCCGTACGTATTACTACTTGACAGTACTTACAAAACCAATCAGTACAAATTGCCTTTGTTGGAGATTGTTGGTGTTACTCCTGTCGGGAAAAATTTTACTGTAGCAGTCGCATTTTTGCGCCATGAAAATGAAGACCATTACACATGGGTGTTGCAAAAGCTGAAGAGACTTTTCCCCCCTCAGACTCTACCTAGTGCCATTGTGACGGATCGAGAGTTAGGGCTCATAAAGGCGCTAGAGAATGTATTTCCGACCGTACCTCATCTCTTATGTCTTTGGCACATTAACATGAATGTGGGGCGTCGTGCTTCAAGATGTCTCGGCAATAGTAGGCGTCGCGGCACGGCTTTTGTAGTTGGTACGTGGCAAACCTTGGTAAAATCAGTGTCTGAAGAAGATTTCGCCATGAATTACACAGCTTTGTTGGACGAGTACGCGAATTATCCAGATTTGATTGAGTATCTCCAATACACTTGGCTCGTATACAAAGAGAAATTTGTAAAAGCATGGACGGATCTAATTTTCCATTTGGGTAATACATCGACAAGCAGGTATTTATTTATAAGTTGTTAAATATATATACTTAACTTACTGTCATGTAGTTTATTGAAACATAGCATATTCTTAACATAATAGGGTGGAGAGCAACCATAGAGCATTGAAAAGATGGTTGGAATCGTCGACGGGTGGCTTCGACACATTTTGGGCACAGTATCACTCAATGATGAAAGATCAATTTAACGAGATACTAGCCGATTTTGCAAAATCAAAGAGGATTCGGGCCCATACGATCAACGTGCCCGTATTTAAATTATTGTCCAGTGGAATTGTAACACATAATGCTCTGCAGATGTTGGACGATGAGAAGGATGAAGACATAGACGGTTGCGTCTGTTATATGAGGAAATGTCTTGGACTCCCATGCAGACATGAAATTCGTGCAAAGATGAATGCACGACGTGGTGTGTTTTATGCAGAGGTTGTCCACATTTTTTGGAGGACATTTATTTCGGGATTCGGGGATTCCCTAGATGAAAGTGTTGGTTCTGTTCCCGACCACAGGTCACAGGCTATTGGCAGGCTAGAAGGGTTAATGAATGATTTGCGTGAGCGGTCAGAAATTGAGATCACGGACGTGACAGATGTCATTTTCGAACGAATGCATCCCGGGGCTATGGAAATGAATGAGCCACCAGTACTAGCCTGCCCGAGAGGTAGACCGCGGACGAACTCTACACAGAGGCGGAGTCGGAGTCCGAACATCCTCGTAATCGTCATCGGATGGAAAATCCGGCACCGGAAACTGATACTTCTGCTGAAAGCGTAGTTGTGGATCGTACTCGTACTCCTGCGGCTGCATATATGCATCCATGGGTGCATCCATCTCCTGATCGGCCTCTGTCTCTGTCTCCTCCTGAATCATCGTACGTGGGGGTACAAAAGCACCAGTGCGTTCCCCACGACGTTTAGAACCGGTAACATTTCTATTATGTGTCCTTCCCTCCCGTTCCGCAGTATTCTCCTCCACCGGATCTGCAGGAGGACGAATCAGGAGTCCTTTCCCTTTTCCCAGTCCGAATT